TGTTAAAGATTAGAGATACTTCAAATACTGAAGTTCTAATCAAAGGCTGTTTAGCCATGTTTAAGATTGTTAATTGTGCACTTGCTGCTGTTTCAATCTCGGGAAGCATATCACTGTCTGTGGTCTCTAATTCCCAAGGCTTCGTCTCACTTGTCAGCTGTATGGTCGTTGAGTTCAGAGGACTTCTCTACATCATTAGTTGTTTAAGTGTGGTGTTTGCCCCTATCTTTATATGCTGTATTTGTTTCCATGTAATAGTTGTTTCTTTGGCCAAGATGGCTATGTTATCAGGTCCTGTAAACACTTTCTCCATTCTTGGAGAATAAGAATCTATAGATTGAAGTTTGTCCAAAAAAAAAAAAAAATTGTCTATCGTCTACTAGCAACGTAAACATCAGAAACACGTACCATCATTAGTCAATGCAGACTGAAGTAATTAATACTATATATATATATATTATGATTAGTATGTAATCAGAGGTATCCATAATATCTAACGCCATAATATCCAGCACAGAAGAAGTGTATAATTGTGTTTGCTTATAATGATCATGTCTAGCTTAAAAATGCATTACAAGCTGATATTATTTCTTAGTTTTTTACTGATTCTAAAGAATGAGTACACACAGGTATGTATCATTGAGATATGTTCTTAATATAATAAGAAGTGAGGGGCTATATGCAGAAGAAATATTAACTTCATTAATTTAACAAATAATGTTACCTACTTATGTGTCTTCATTAATTTAACAAATAACATTACCTACCTAAGTGTCACCATCTACATAATAACACTAACACTAATTACACCAAACCTACTAAGATCTCTTTTATAACCAAAATCATTACTTAACCAGATTAACATCGTATCGTTCAAACTATTCTTTCATGTAACTATACAAATCATCCACTCATCTTGCATAGAGAATCGCTCTATCATAGAGGAGATAATATACAATAAGTTGTGGATACTGATGGCCAGAGAAAATGACGTAATGCTTTGGAATTATATCGTCATCATACATAGGACATATCAATCTAAGTAAATAAATGGATAAGAAAGTACCTCAACTCTAGACTAACATGTGATAACAACTTCTCTATTAGATCAAACATAAAGACTTATCTAAGATAGCGTCATGGTGATGTAATAATAATCTTACAGTTGAGATTATTTTCTCTAATTTTGGGACTTTTTGTTGTTGTTAACTTTATAAAGAGCTAGATTCACTGTAGTTACTAAAGTATAACATCAAATCTTTACTGTCAAGAGATCTCTAAAGGAATAGGCCAAACATATAAAGTCAATTACAATCCTAAAAAGATTCAACCTCTGGAACTTCACATTTATCACCATAACAAAACAAAAAAAAAAAACTGTCATTGTTTTCTGTTGGTAAACATGAGAGACAAAACCTAAGAAACCGATTCAAATATTCTGTTTGACAAGTTGAGACTGAGATGCTGAAGGCAATGGGTTCACCCTGCTCGGCTTGTTACTGAACCTGTCTGTATAAGATTGCTGACTCTGCAAAAAATAAAACCTGATGGATCATACAAAAACTCATAAACAAACGACTCAAGAAGAAAGATGGTGAATAAATTGTACCATTTCAGGAATGTAAGTGCCTGTTCCTCTTGATCTCCTCATGTTCTGAAACGAGTTTGATGATCCATTCAGATTCCTCCTATAGAAAACATTCTTTTGTCCCGTGACAAACCAACGAACAATGTCCCAAGAACTTGTGTCTTGCCCCTGAGGGATCCACTTATGCTGAGTCTCTCCGTGAAACCATTTCCCGTATACAAGACTTTTGAAGTATCCTTCAACGTCTCCCCTGAGTTCAGATGGTTCTGATCTTCCTGTGCCAAAGGCCACGACAGGTTCCTCCACGTCTTGTCTTTGTCCTTTACCGTTCCTCTCTAATGAACTACTGAAGAACTTCTCCAGTTTCCAGCCCATGGTTTCTCCAGGTACTGAAAGCACATCTTTGAGCTTTCTAGCTCCCAGAGTAAAAGCATGTCTTATACGTTGCAAATTGCCTAATAAAAATTACAACAAAAGAGAGACTAAATCATGAGCTTATGTTTGGTTACAAATCTTTGATCGATGGGAGTACCTTTTGTCACACTACGGCCAAGGTTGTTACTGTGCTTCAAAGGATCCACAATGTTGAAATGTTTTACAGGAAAAAAATGGCCATTTGCTTCCACAGCTTTAGTTGGAACCGAATATAACTCTATGCATTCTCTAAAGAACTTCTCGTTCAGGAAAACATCAGCATCATTACCAGTCATATCTGGCAGAGAAGATATCAGGACTGGTCCATTGACAGTGAGACAGTAGTTATCCCAATCAAATGATGCATAGTAATCCAAGAACTTAAACAGAACCTGGTGACATTAGATATCATGTTAAATCTTTGAACCAATGTACATATAAGCTCGGAGTTATTATACACACTCACCGCTAAAGGGCCAAATAGTGATGAATAAGATATGTTGATGATATGCAAGACTAGTACTGCCAATGCATAGGTTGAAATCAATCCAGTGTTGGCACCGAGAATACGGCTCTCATAGTAGCACCAAGCCTTGATCAAAATGATGCTACGCTTGAACAGATGGTCTCTCCCAAACACCTGGTCAACCTAACAGAGAAACCAAATCAAAGATTCACCAAGAACTGTTTAAAAGCCGGAAGCTATGAAAGTGTTTACCTGCTCTAGAAAACATAAAGCGCAGAGTCCTGCCATTTGATTGAAGGAGATGTCTACAGCAATGTTCCTGATACTGCATTTTATGACCTTAACCTAACATCAGCATAAGCAAATAATGAGTTTTGTGTAAGGAATGAATACACTTAAGTCAAAAGCCACAAAGGAATCAAGCAAACCTGTGCTGCAATATATTGAACATCAGTTACATAGAAACCAGATTTTCCATCTTCAGCTTTAAGCATATTGCACAACGTGTCAGCCAAGTCCTCTTCTTTATCTTGAGGAGTTAGGACTGTCAGATCAATATCTCCATCTGGGAGGTAGGTTTTTAGTGGCACCGAGCCAAACAAGAAGACCTGGTAAATACAGTACCGCATCAAAGTTGCAACATCACAGCCAGATAGATATCATTATCAAACAAAGTTTCAACTAATCATAATAAACATATCACAACCAGATGTTATCATCAAATAAAGTTTCAACTAGTCACTATAAATATATATGGATATGTTTTTTCCTAGTGAACAAAACAGAAAGGCAAGCAAGTTTAAGTGGAGAACCAAAGTGTCTAACCTCAATTCCAAGACGATCCTTAATAAGGGTCTGGACATAATGTATGATCTCGCTCCTGCTTCTGTCTGAGACAAAGACAGGTTGGATGGCGTTAAGTATCTCCTGAGCCCTTTCCTCGGCAACCATCCACAACTCTCCATCTATTGGCAATGTTGATAGTGACAGAGAAGACGGTGATGATGAGGAGGAGGAGGATGAAGACGAGGAGAGTGACATCCTCTCTTGAAGATCAGCCATTTGAACGCAAAACTTCAGATTAACTAAAACCCAGGTGGAGTCACCTCAAGGAGCTTACTAGTCTGAAAGTGAAATATCAAGACATATACAAACCATTAGACAAAGAGAAGATAATAACATGAATGATGAATCCAATACATTTCTCAGAGGAAAGTAACTTTAAACCAAAGATATGAAGAAGACAAAGGCAGAGACTGAAACTGAATCACCACAGAAACACACGGCAGAGAAAGAAGAGCAAAGAGAGGGAAACTCAAAAACTGAAACTTCTCAATTCAAGCCAAATCAGGGAGTAGTTACATTCTAAGCACGACAAGAAACTCAAAACAGAGCATTAAACAATGATATGTAAATGGGATTGTTAGGCATCCCTACTTTCTTAGCTTCCCTCAAAGCCAAACTCCAAAGAATAATTAAAAATTGATTTAAAAGATTCTGCTTTTAGCCAGATTCCATAGCAACCAGAATGATTGCAACACAGCTTAAACTAGTTTCAGGAATCTCAACATCTTTATCTAAACTCAAAGAACAAACCTTTTTTAATCAACCTCGTAAATGCAGAAATGGTTTTTTTTTTTTTGGGAATTGTAAGTAACGACGAAAAGGTACCTTTGCTTTTAGTACATGTGTCAAAGATCCTTCCTTTGAACAAAACCCGTGTTGCCTTCTTTAACTCATCCTCTGCAAACAATACACATCAAACCAAATTAAAAAATTAAAACTTTCTATGAACAACAGATTCTAAACAGATTTAGGGTTTTAGGGTTGTGATTTAATTGGCATTTCTGTTTCACCTTCAGATAAAAAAAAAATAGAAATTGAGCAGAAGATTTCAACCAAAATGTTTGGTGGTGTAACTAATTGAGACAATGGTGATTAGTTTTTTTTTCTTCTAAGAGATGAGATCAATAGTAAAGATGAGAAAGAAAGAAAAAAACTCACTGAAACTCCGGCGGAAAATATGGCAGCTTGGCGTCTAATCAAGAGAGAAGATAAAACCAAAGTTAAAAAATGAAAATGAAACGATGGCCGAAAATATTAAATAAAATTAAAATAAAAAAGTCAATGAAATTTATGGAAGGTTCGTAGAGTATGACTGTATGAGTCATATAAATAAATAATAATATAATCAAATACTCCATCAGTTTTTTAATGAAACTTGTTTTTTCTTGAATACATTTTTTACTAAATAAAAATTTATAACTGTAAATTTCAAAAAATGTTTGGTAAATTTTTATTGGTGAAATAGTTAATCAACTTATGAGTGCATGTTGGTAAGACGTGAATATATATATATTATGTCCATAATAGACGAGTATATATAGCTTTTTCATAATTGTGAGTAGATTGTTTTTTTCTTTTCTAAAACAAACATAGTAGTTGTTTGAAGAGTTTTACAAAATTGTCTACCTTCTAAATTAGCTTAAAAAAATGGACTAATTACCAAATTAATAGCCTTTAGATGTTTCCTACCAAAACAAAAGGCTAAAAGGAAAACTACCTGAAATGTTAATGTCGGTAATACAATTAGTCAAAGTAGGTAGCAAATATCAAAAAAAGAAGAAATCATGTATGTGATGCGCACTTTGTTCCACTCAGATCTTTTTATTTGTGATATGTAACACTCCATCAAGCTATATACATGTTTTGATGTTCTGAAGATATTTATATATAAAACGAACACTCAGTACACATCCATTCCAGTCAAATAACAAACTCAACTTCTAATATTTTATATGAAAATAAGATACTTGACTAGACTCTATATTCACTATCCATTGTTATATAAATCCACGAGTAACCTTCCTTAGCCTTTCCATTTGTTGTTATAAATACAAGAATATGCCTTATCATAGGCATTTCCCACTCATCTGATCCAAATTCTCTAGGCATATAGAGATGAACGCACAGTAGATGGTCTCACAGTAGGAGAGATCCATTTATACTATTATCTTTAAACTCAATAATACAATAAGAATGTCAATCAGACACTATATAAAGTTATAAACACAGTAGGAAAACTGAACACACTATTTGTTTTATAACCTTTTTTTTACATTAACCTACTTCTTGAATGAGCCATAAAGTATTTATTTTGAAACAACTACTATAGTTTAAAAGGTAATAACAGGAATTTTGAGATAATCAAACCCCACATCTCCTAATTATCTGAATAGTTCCACACTATCCTTTGTGCGAGTCAAGTTAACTACTCTTACTTCAACTCCTACATAGATTATATCCTATATTACCGAATCTAACACTAGGATCATTGAATTTTGTGAAGGAAAATCAAGGGAATAATATAATCCAAAGATTAAAAAATCAATCAAATCAAGAGAGAGAGAGAGTACAAATCGTTTTCTTGCAAAGCAAGTAAGAAAGTAAAGCTCAAACAAACTAAGGAAAACACACTGAGGCAGAAACTTAATCTGAAGTAAACATGAGTTTAATCTGCAGATCCTCCTGGTGCATCAGATCCACCTAGTGCATCTGGAGCTTGAGAAACTGGTTGTTGTAAATATCCTTCATTGACATCATCTTCCATAAGGAGGTCATCGACCCTAAAACAAACATTTTGATCATCCCAATGATATTTTAGGTCTGCCTCCATCATAGCTGTAAACGTATCAAACCATGGATCTTGATCTTCGTAATAAGAAGGAAAAGGTAAAACCGGTGCATCTTGCTCTTGTTGCTGCTGAGGAGTGGGGTCAAAATGATCTTCTTGTTGCATCGTCGGCGTGAAGTTGTTGTCGTTGTTATTCTGCGTCGTCATCGTAGTCTCAAAACCTAAATCTTGGCCTACGTGAGGAGAAGGAAGAGGTGGAACCGGTGCATCTTGTTCTTGTTGCTGCTGAGTGGCGTCACCATGATCTTCTTGTAGTGGCATCGTCCTCGTGATGTAGTTCTGCATATTCCTCATCGTCTCAAATCTTGAATCTCCATATAGAACCGGTGCATCTTGCTCTTGTTGCTGCTGAGGAGTGGGGTCACCATAATCTTCTTGTTGTTGCATCGTCGGCATGAAGTAGTTATCGTTGTTATTCTGCGTCGTCATCGTAGTCTCAAAACCTAAATCTTGGCCTACATGTGGAAAAGGAAGAGCTAGAACCGGTGCATATTGCTCATGTTGCTGCTGAGTAGCATCACCATAGTCTTCTTGTTGCATCGTCGGCATGAAGTCGTTGTTATTCTGCGTCGTCATAGTAGTCTCAAAACCTAAATCTAGGCCTACATGAGGAGAAGGAAGAGCTAGAACCGGTGCATATTGCTCTTGTTGCTCTTGTAGTGGCATCGTCCTCGTGATGTTGTTCTGCATATTCCTCATCGACTCAAATCTTGAATCTCGGTATAGAACCGGTGTATCTTGTTCTTGTGGGTATTGCTGCTGCTGAGTAACGTCACCGTGGCCTTGGCCTTCATGAGGAGGAAGAGCTAGAGCCAGTGCATCTTGCTCTTGTTGCTGCTGATGCTGAGTAGGGTCACCATGATCTTCTTGTGGCGTCTTCATCTCAACTCGATTAGCACCAGCTTCTTCTTCTTCTTGCACTTGGTTCGCTAAGATGCTCTTCTTATTCACCTCTTCAGCGAACTCGCTCTTCTTGAGATTACCTTTGAGATGACACAAGACCAAATAGTCTTGATTTTCTTTATGAAGGCAATACTCTGTCATGTTCCAACCAGTAGGCTTTATATCTCCGTTAACATTAATCTTGTTATAAACAAGATTCTGCATGTAACCTTGCACCTTATTGTCTTTGTCTATGATCGGCTCTTTCTTACTAGTGCTTTTCCATGTACCTCCTCCTCCTCTGCTTCCCATAACGGTCCTATTACATGAACTGATACCTCTTCTGTTCCTAGGAGTAAAGTAGTACCATTCGCCTCTAGGAAACAGATCGTTTTGCACGTGTTTAAGAAGCCACGGGTCGTCTTTGTAGAGATCCAAAGTTTTTATGAAACCGCTCTTCTTCTTATCCACCTTGTTTCTTAGATGAACCCTAACACACCCCAAGTTAGTTGGAAGAAACCGTGAACCGGGTGGATAAACCGGAGCCTTATTAGGGTTTGAGCTGCTGCTGGGATCGGTGTGTTGAGGACGAGGCATGGCTTGGAAGCTGCGATGATATTGAAGCATCATGAGTCTCTGCTGCTCTTCCTCGAGATTGTTCATGTGATTGACATGGTGGTTGGAAGCTGGAGGAGGAGGCATGCCTTGGGAACGAAGCATCATAAGTCTCTGCTGTTCTTCAAGATTGTTGACCATAGATCTATCTTCGTCTCTATTCATCATACTCAGATACTAATCTTAGCTATCTAGGTTTGTTTGATATGTGGTTATGTTGGAGTCTTGGCTGCCTTATTTATAACAATATTCTTCAGTCGGTTGCCAAAAAAGGAAATTTCAGAGTGCTATCTTCACTATTTCCTTTTTTTTTATTAATTTCCTTATCTAATTTCCTTTTTTTATTTCATAAAATTTAATATTTTCGAGCTTCTTAATTTACTATTTCCATTTACATTAAGGATCAGGTTTAATTTTTTTTTTTTTGGTCAACAGGTTTAATATTTCTTAAAATTTAGATTTTGTAATATCCTACAATTTCCTTTTTCAAATTTTGTTTGGATTCCAGGAGGGTTTAATTTACAAACAAACCAAAAATTATTGATGAACCGACTGTTTTTGTTTTGTTCAACTCTTAAAATCCAAAGGACCATAACATTGTGTGGAGTATGCACACGGCTCTCATCACACAACACAAAATAACAAAGTCTTCTTTACTCATGTTTTGCTTGGGTATACACTTATGCGGTATAGGGTATTTTAAGCTTCTTGTAGCAACTCATTTGCTTTGTTTACCCAAACGTTATAGGTATCGTCCGCAGACAACAAAAAATGCACCTTTACAAAAGAATGACAATACAAGATTGTAAGAAAAAATGTCATTTGAAAATCCAATGTAAGTGTAACGATATGGACGTGAGAAGCAGCTGTTACCTCTTTAAAGTCATTGGCGAACTCTTTGATTGTTGATATTGTGAAGCTATGTCGTTTAGTCATTTGGGCCTTGGGCCTTATCTCAGATTTGGGTCATTATGTTCAAGCCCAAATGCGATATCACTTAATTGATACGGGAGCGTTTTGTGGTTGTTACAAGTGGGACCCGATTCTGTTAACTTCATCGTCTACATAAAAGGAGAGAGAGTGGCAGTTACAGAGATAGAGTTCGAGAGA